ATTAAAGTACTTGAGCCAACTCTATTTTTTCAAGACTTTGGAAATTAAATGAATGAGTGAGAAGAGTGTGAAACTGGGAGTTTTCGCTTTACTTAAACATCAGAGAAAATCAGGACATTTCAGTGAAATGCATTGGAATCAATAAGAAAGGTCAAATAAAAGTAGTTTCTGATGTTTTCTAAGGATGCATTAGGTTTTAAAGGCTTTCAACTACCCTGGACATGCTCGGGTGCCATAAATTGCACCTCCTCAGCTGGAAAGGTGGTTTTAGATGCTGAGAAACAATGGAATCCTAATGCTAATCATAGTTACATAGTTAGTCTGGTAGAAAAAAGATACGTCTATCTAGTTCAACCAATAAAAAGGAAAATAAAAAATATATATACAATCCTATATACACAATCCTATATCCACAGTTGATCCAGAGGCAAAGGCACAAAAAAGTCCCAGCAAGGCATGATCCAACTTGCTCCAGCAGGGCAAAAATGCCTTCCTGATGCCCCAAGACGCAATCCCTGGATCAAATTTACCTATATGTTTGTATCCAGTTATATTATGTGCATTTAGGATAGATTCCAGGCTTTTTTTTTTAAAGCAGTCTACTAAACTGGCCAGAACTCTTAAGGGAGGCTATTCCACGTTTTCACAGCTCTTACTGTGAAAAAGCCTTTCCATATTTGGAGATTATATCTCTATTCCTCTAGACATAAAGAGTGCCCCCTTGTCCTCTGTGGTGACCTTACAGTGAATAACTTTACATCAAGTTCACTATATTGACCAATTATGTGTTTAAACATGTTTGTCATATGGCCCATTAATCTCTTCTTCTCAAAATTGAATAAATTCAGTTCCTCTTAACTTTTCCTCATAGCTGAACTCCTCCATGCCTCTTATCAGTTTTGTTGCCCTTCTCTGCAATTTCTCCAGTTCCCCGATATCTTTTTTGTGAATTGGTGCCCAAAACTGAACTGCATATTCCAGATGAGGTTTTACTAATGATTTGTACAGCAGTAAAATGATATCTCTTTCTCTTAAAGTCTCCAGTATCTTCCCAACTATAGAAGTTAAACTAACAGATCTATACTTGGTGAAGACTTTGACCCCTTTTTAAATATAGGCACCACATTGGCTTTACGCCAATCTACCCATACTATGCCAGTCATTAAAATTAGCAACAATGGCTTTGAATTTACAGCGCTCAATTCTTTTAGGAGTTGAGGGTGTAAGCTATCTGGTCCGGGTGTTTTTATTCACCTTTATTCTGTCTAAATATTTCTTTGAATACACAGCGCTGAAGAAGGTATTTAATAAATTTGCCCCCAGTCACCCACTCTAGATTATTTATTATTTCTAGATTATTTTGTAAAGGGCTTACATGCTCAGACCTGACCTTTTTACTAATGATATATTTAAAGAATTTTGGGGGGTTGTCCTATTATCTTTTGCAATCTGTAGCTCGTGTAAAATTTTTTGCAGCACTAATTTCCTTTTTACATATTCTGTTATATTCCTTTCTAACAATTAAATGATGATAGCATTCTTTCATTTTTATATTCTTTAAAAACTCTTTTCATATTATTTATAGCTTCTTTTAAGTTTGGATGTGATCCATGTAGGTTTTATTTTTATCCTTTTACATTTTTTGCCCATGGGAATATGTTTTGCAGTGCGTTTGCATGTGGTCTTTTTGAAGAATTTCTGTCCTGTGTTCATTGATGCCATTATTCAAGTCTTGGAGAGCAGTCCTCATCCTTGGAACATTTGCTCTCCTAAAGGTGAGTGTTTTTTTCTTTCCAGTATGTGCTTCTTGTTTACAGTTAACAATAAATGAGATCATGTTATGGTCACTGCTACCCAGATGTTCTTTTATATGAACATTAGTGATAAGCTCTGGTTTGAGATTACCGGGTCCAGCAGAGCATCATTTCTAGTCAGGGCCTCTATGAACTGTACCATAAAATTGTAATAGGTTTATACATGTTTGCCCTTTAACTGTTCCTGCAGTGCCATTACTCCAGTCAATTTTCAGGTAGTTAAAATCCCCCATTATTATCACTGTGCCCACCTCCTCATTAGCTTCCAACTCACCTATTTTTCTTGGCAGACTTCTGGCATTGGGGAACAAACACTTTAATCCATTGTCACATTTTGCACGTATATTTTGTTTTTTTTTTAAGTACAAAGAGTACCATTTCCAGTGGTTGTTTATAATATCAAAACCTTCTTATTACCTGCTATAGCCCTCCCCCCATATTTCTCCATTCCATCCACCAATAGGGACTGACACCTGTCTGACCTGTCTGCCATTATAATCTAATCCCCCCTCCCCCTTCAATCCTAGTTTAAATACTCCTCCAGCCTTTCAATAAACCTATCCCCCAGTACAGCAGACCCCCTTAAATTTTGGTGCAAACCATCTTTACCATATAGGTTGTGCCCCAATGAAAAGTCTGCCCAGTGCTCTAGAAACCCAACTTCTTCCCTCTTACACCAGGTCTTTAGCCGTGTATTCAGTTCTCTAATCTCCCCTTGTCTTTCCTGTGTTGCACATGGCATAGGCAAATATTTCAGAGAATATCAGCTTGAAGGTCTTCCCTTCAACTTGCAGCCTAGTTCTTTAGATTGATACAGCAGGAGCCTCCTCCTTCCATGTATTCTGCCATTGGTTCCAACATGGTCCAAGACAGCTGGGTCATGCCCAGTCCCTCCCAGTAATTTATCAATCCAGTCCACCACATGCCGAACCCTGGCACAAGGGAGACAGCAAACCATTCGGTTGAGGCAACCCTGGCAACAAATTATTCTGTCAGTCTTCCTGATTATATAATCTCCCATTACCACCAACTGTCTAGGACTTCCTGCACTACCCTCACCTCCCGCACTAAATGGGCAGCTCTCCCAGCTGTTAGGAATAGCAGCGACATCTAGGGCTGCCACCTCTGAGTCTGTCACCCAAATATCTTACCCCAACTTGGCAAATTTATTTGGGTGCTCAAACCCAGGGCTGTCCTTCCTTTTCTGTGAGCCCCTACCACTCCCTCTGACTACAGTTACCCAACTTCCTACCTGATAATCTGGACTTACCCCTCCACCCTCCACATCAACCCTATTAACCATCTGCTTAGTGAGCAGAAGACAATCTTTCAAGGTTGTCAGTTCCACCCAGTGTTGCTACTTGCTCCTCCAGATCTCTAATATGAGCATCCAGAAAAGCAACCTAATAGATAAATCACTACCAATACCCAAATACTCAATACTCAATCCCCTTAAAGCATAATTTCCACCTTCACCACGTTTTTCACTATATTATTATTTAATTTTTTTTTTCACTTGTGTGATTATCACCAGAGTGACCTCACGTGTTATTATGATTTACTAAAGGATAATGCACTATGTATTGTTTTTTTTTTGTTTTTGAGGTAATCCAGCCTGTGCAAGCCGTTGGGAGGCTCTATACACTTGGACTTAATTTTGGATGCACTAATTTATTACACAAGAGGGACATTTGATATATTTGTGTGGTATATATTTTTTTTTTTGGACTTTAATTGGAATTTATTATGTTTGTGATTTAGGGTAGGGTGTTTTTATATTTATCATTGATTGATTATTTATTTGGCATATTTACTATAATACAGAAAAGCAACCTGCTCACATCTGTCGCAGTGGTATCCATCCTGGAGTTGTTGCTCCATTGCTGCATACATGCGGCACACTGTGCACTGCACAGAACCTTCCACCCTGCAAGCACTCATTTTTCCAGTTACAATATTAATATTACTAACAGGAACTTTCAGATGTTATTTTACAGGTAGAAGACTCCTGTTATATATCTCCTGTTTTAAAATCTGGTTTTTAACTCTATTTAGTAAAATTTCCACCTGGTCAAAGTTCCAGCAAGCAAAAGGTGGCCAAGCTCAAGGATGTCAAGCTCAGTGTGAGCTTAGAGTGAGTTCAACAGAAAGTTATATAGTACCTGGAGCACTTGTGAACAATTAACCACTCCCCTTAATTAGCAGGCTGAAGGAAGGAAAGAAAAAAAAATACTATTTAAAAAGTGTCAGAAAAGGTGTTTTAAAAAGCTGCTAGAAAGCCCCCAAAGCAGAAAATAAAATAACTGCAACCACAAGCAACCACCAGCAGACAAAATCAAAACTGTTTTTCACTCTCAGTTTCATTTCTCACTCTCCCTGCCAGTAAGATGTGTCAAAATCTTAACCCTTTGTTTTTCAACAAAACCAAATAATTATAGCATCAGTATTGACATGGGGAACATATGGCTAAGGGTAAGGGTTACATTTAGTGTTGTAGTTAGCATTATTACTAGAATTGAGGTTGGTGTGGTTTACCAACAAAGGTATTGATTACCATGCCAACACTAAAATGATGATTGCATGGCTTTGTTTTCAATTTTTTTTGTCTTGCAAATTTCACTGAACCAGTTCACATTCCTAAATATAGGTTCAATTTGGACAAATTTTTTTTGATGGCAAAATTGGTTACCGTATTTTTCGCTCCATAAGATGCACTTTTTTCCCCCAAAAAAAGGGGTATGGAATATGGAGCGGCCGGTCCGGTATTTCCACCGCCACCGTGTCAGAATACCGGGCCGGCCGCTTAGCTCTGCAGCGGGACCTTACCTGTTCCTCTATCCAGCGGCGCGCTGTCTTCCCGGCTTCTGTAATGTGGGCGCTTGGCTTGACAGCCGAGTGCCAAGTGCGCATGAGCAGCAAGCGGTGCTCTTTGTGAATGGTAAGGCGGCACCTGGGACACATGACAGGTCCCAGAAGCCGCCAGACCAATCACAAAGCGCAGCGCTTCTTGCTCATGCGCACTGGGCACCCGTCTGTCAAGCCGAGCGCCGACACTACAGAAGCCGGGATGACAGCACGCGGCTGGAGAGAGGAACAAGTAAGGTCAAAGAACAACTCCGCGGAAGTAAGAGCGGGTACCTGTCAAATTCAGTTACCCGCTCCCCCCCCTCCCCAAAAGGTCAGCAGTCATCTCCTGTACTGTCCACAGTCTCTGGTCATCCCTGTACTGTCCACAGTCTCTGGTCATCTCCTGTACTATGTCCACAGTCTCTGGTCATCTCCTGTACTATGTCCACAGTCTCTGGTCATCCCTGTACTGTCCACAGTCTCTGGTCATCTCCTGTACTATGTCCACAGTCTCTGGTCATCCCTGTACTGTCCACAGTCTCTGATCATCTCCTGTACTATGTCCGCAGTCTCTGGTCATCTCCTTTACTATGTCCGCAGTCTCTGGTCATCTCCTTTACTATGTCCGCAGTCTCTGGTCATCTCCTTTACTATGTCCGCAGTCTCTGGTCATCTCCTTTACTATGTCCGCAGTCTCTGGTCATCTCCTTTACTATGTCCACAGTCTCTGGTCATCTCCTGTATTATGTCTGCAGTCCATTAGTTTAGAATATTTTTTTTCCTGTTTTCTGCCTCTAAAACCTAGGTGCGTCTTATGGTCAGGTGCGTCTTACGGAGCGAAAAAATACGGTAATTTTATTTTTTCATCTTTTTTTGCACACCACTCATCCCTGGCAATTAAACATATATTTTGCATAAACAAATGTAAATAGATACACTTTATCAATGGTATGTAATTCTATGTAATTAGTGTTTTTTTCCACAAAGGAAAGGTTTCACACATCAGAGCTCAAAATATTAATAGGATATATTTAGCTAAGGGTGCCCAAAACCCTTGTGTGATCAAAATGTATATACAAATTTCTATACTGCCAACCACAGGTATACAGATACAAATTGTTAATTTTAGTGTTGATTTTAAAATATTACCTTATGACACATTTTGGTAAGACAGATTTTCAACTGGGCTAAGGTCATTTTTTAACTCAAGAGAATGGGAAAGGTTCAATCCAACTGGTTTAATATCACTTTGTAGCAGGCAAGCTAATAAGCATGTTTCATTTAACTGTTCAGTATTATAGGTGAAGGCTCAATTCTTTGATTTATCTGCATGTGGTCAAGAGAAATAGGAATGAAGAAATTAATGAATGGCATGAAAGCTGAACTCTGGGAAGATATAAAACACACAAATGAATGCAACTCTGTAAACATTAAAGTGATACTAAACCCAGGACCCTGCATTCACTATATCTGGTCTCCCACAGTACACACAACATGGAAATGCAATTATTTTAGTAAAAATATAAACTGCTAAATACATCTTCTCATCAGCAGTTAGAGCAGTCTTGTGACTTCAGCAGAGCACTGGTTAAAGCTTGTAGAAGGAGTTTTCTTTCTGCTCTAGGAGGATTTGAAACCTCTGACCGTCTGTCTGGACAGTGCTGATTGGCCCTCTGCTGTGCTGATTGGCCCTGTGCTGATCACATGCACTCTCCTAAGGGAAAACAAAATCGCTAGCAATACACACCAAACTGAGCATGCGCATGTGACTACGGATTCAGTCTGTATCAGGTGGTCATTTGAACAAGAGGAGGGCCAGAGAAGAAAGGATCAAACACCCTTTTTACACAATGCAGAGGATTAACCCCTTAGGTTCCACAGTGAGTATAACAAGCATGCTTTACTGCATATAAAGACTGATTTTACTGTTGTGGGTTTAGTAACACTTTAATACATCATATCAATCAAGTACCTGCATTTGACCTGGTATCAGACTCTTGTAGTTCCCAGTACAAGAAGCCAATTAGTTCATGTTTTCACGAGAGACAAGGAAGAAAAAGCAGAGTGACAGAGAGATGAGCTAATCACAAAGCTGCTTCTTCTATTCACTGTCCAGCAGCAGGCTGGGGGTCTGTCTAGGATGACCTGGGCTCAGAGGAAATGTGATGAATGAAGCTGGTCAACAGACTTGGGACATCTAGTGCCATAAAAATACAGCAGGGGAAATCTCTGGATTGAAGCTGAATAGTGCTGCAAACTGTTTTGTTTCTTTAACCTTTAACCTGTTCACGCCAAGCGCCTCTCAGCAGCAGGGCCTTGACTTCGAGCAGCTGCATATTTATGTACCGTTTGTAAACAATCATTTGCTGAGAGCACATACCCAGCACATGTGTCGGCGTCTCACGGAAAGGTCCCAATCTCTCCATGTGATTGGGACCTTTCTGATTATGTGAATGCTGTGACAGCCAATCACAGCGGTCATGTGACCCTAAACCAAGCCTTCCGGTGTCAGAAACCCCTTAAAGGGCCAGGAGCCACCTGTGCAACGGGGTTAATTGGCTATTAATTTTTATCTTTTTGGACGAAGTCCTGCTTGAAAAGAAAGCTTGAAGTACAGCATTGTGATATTCATTTTAATGACAAATTTGTATATGCATTGTCAACATTCATCATGTGCACGTGTGTGTGGCTAGAAGTCCACATTTTTATATTATGAAAGGTTCTCTTTAAGGACATTAGCTTAAAGGTCCATTAATGTTTGGGACTGCTGTGAGCACTGTTTGTTTTAATTATGTATATAATGCTAACAAATTCTGCAGAACCTCCAACACATTCCAAAGGAGCTTGATTTCACAACCACACATGCACTAGAGTCAAATACATTTTTGGGAGGTCAATACAAACAAGTGTTGTATATACAAATTTAATATAATGTCCTTAGTGTGAAATGATCTTAGGATCCCAGTACAGTAAAGCAATTGGGGGCTTAACTCAAGACTCCAGTTCTGCAAAGTTAGTAGACCAAAACTCTTCCAGCTGTTTACTGTAAAACATAAACAAAAATTGGTGCAGCGCTAAAAAAATTATTATATAAAAGTGCAATACTCAAAGTATTATTAATATGAAGATATTAAATACAAGTGATAACATGGGAGTGAATGAAGCTCTGCAATGAGCGCAATTAAACAAGTGCGGCTGTAAAAGTCATAAAGCAAAGAAAGTGTTCATATGATGGTGAGGGTCTGACAAACACTGGTCAGAAAATTGTGCTGCACACGAATCCTGTTGCACAAGTGGTATCAAATTATTCCATGTGACTTTAATCCGTGCAGGGAATTGATAAAAATGCACACTCACCAGATGCGCATAGTAAAAGTGCAATGTATTGAATCATATAATGATCACGGATCTGCAGGAAGCCCCCTTTAAGTGGACCAGACAGACAGCATGGGAAGAGACTCCCTCCTCTGGATCTGAGACAGTGTTGAGCAGGATAAGGAGATTTGATGAAGAAGGATGTCCTTCTTGTCCTACATGGGTGGTTTAGGGAGTCTTGCAACCAAAGAGCAGGAAACACTGGCTTTGTCTGTTTGATGCTTTGATAATCGCTCAATTGAACAGTTCAGGCTAGAACCCCCCCCCCCCCCCCCCCAGATAGATATCTGCTGCTCTCCGGCCCTTTTTTTTCACCTACAGACAGTAAAAAGGAGCTCAGTGTTACTGGATGACTAAGTGCATCAACTAGCAGGGAGCACAGTAACTAGCAGGGAGAACTTACTGTGCTTCGTGTGCAGCACAATTTTCTGACAGTTGTTTGTCAGACCCTCACCATCATATGAAGAACCTTAAAAGTCGATTCACAAAAGGAAATAGATAATTAAATGCATGCGGTAATTAAGTAGTGGTCAAGGCATGTGGTATGTACTGGTATCTGTTAGCAACTGTCATGGGATAGCAGAAAAATGGTGTGCCCCCCCCCCCCACCATGCATACCAAGCCCTTCAGCCAACATTTTTTTTTAATGGCATGGGGTCCCTTCCAAAATCCATACCAGACCAGACGCTTACCAGACGCATCAATCACTATGCCTGCTGTCACCACCAACTCAAAAAAAGGCTCCGCTCTCAATGCTGGCCACTCCGCCGTCTGATAGCTTCGCCGGCCACACAGTTCTTAAATATCTAAGGGCGCCGGGCCACCCAGTGATGTCAACTTGGTGACCCCTCCCCCTTGTGACGTTATCCACTGGGGCATGCTAGGTTGATGATGTCACAATGGAGCTCCCCCACCCCAAAGCACCCCCCATGTTGAGGGCATGTGGCCTGGTATGGTTCAGAAGGGGGAGCACTCGCTCATCCCCCCTTTTCTGACCTGCCAGCCTGCATGCTCAAATAAGGGTCTGGTAGGGATTTTGGAGGGACCCCACACCATTTTTTATTTTGGCTTGGGGTTCCCCTAAACATCTATACCAGACTCAATGGGATTGGTATGGATGGTGGGGGACCACATGCTGTTTTTTTGCTAAATTTTTATTTGTCAGCCATTTTTTTTTTTTACATTCAGCTCTCAGTGGGGAACCCCACTGACAGCTGAAACATTACTGCATGTTTTCACTACTAAAATACCGCATGACTTAATAAAGTAACTCATGCAGTATTTTAGTAGCGTTTTTTAGTGATGCCAGCGTTTCTAAGCGTCAAGATACTGCTTAGTGAATTGTCTCCCCTGTCACATAATCAAAAAAAATTTGTAAAAAATAGGGGAGTTCTGTACAACTGTAGTATGCAGAAGACTACGGTTGCCATGTTTCAAGAAATCAAGATTTATTTAGCAGTTATCAATGTGGAATGCAGGATGCCATTATAAAGTAGATTGTTTAGCAATTATATCAACTATAGTCACCCTTTAAATGAATATGTCCATAAATTACAAACTATACTCTCATCCCACCGTCGCATTGTTTCCTTTATGCCAGTGAAGTCCTTACATCTGATATTTTTTCAGAGAAAATGCAGAAAATGAATGTTTAAATTAAGGTGATAATAATTCAGGGCAGAAAAATAGGATAAAGATGTGATTTATTCCCAAATCATACATTTCCTGTTGCTATAATGATGATCTCATTCCTGTAGATTAAGAATGTTCCTCACGGTTTACAATTTAATTAAACATAAAATGACATATTTGTAGTGGGCCACATTTCCATATCCATAAATTAGAATGGAAGTCTAGGGATTAAGTGGAAATGAACTATTTCAAATCATTTAAACATGTCCAGTCATCAGTCACACAGACATCATGTCTAGATTTGCTTGCAGGGGATTTGAGCAATCTAAACTAAGAAAAGGATATGTCTATACCGATTTTAGAACACCATTTATACAGAACTTCCCCATGTTTGCATTGCTTTCATACTTTATGTTATTATGTTAGTTAATCATAAAATGCTAATGTGCGCAATCATCTTTAGATTTTATTTTAAATTATATTTTTATAGGTTTCAAATTTAATATGTGTTTTTCTTTTTGTAGTATATCTCAAATATTTGCATAT